TTGTTGCCTCGTGATCCATTCAATTTAAAGGCAGAAAGTAAAAATCTTGCCCCTACCATTGCTTTAGGGTATTGGCACTGAATATGACAAATAAACAGAACTTTAAATATGTGTGAGAATGCATTGGACACAGTGCTCACGTGCTCAGAGATCATTCAGTTGGCCATAATGAAATGCACAGTTGAGTCAAACTGAAATAAAAATGGTAACATTTTATGAAGAATTCACATGTACCTCTCTTACACTTCCACCTTGTGCATGTTTCCCTTCATGTACTTGTGCACTGGGCTTTGGCCCATCCAACCAGTAGGTAAATGCAATACTGCTTGGATTTCCCTCTGCACCACCTGAAGCATGGACATTCGGGCACATCAGTTGTATGGCTTTTTTGGGGGAGGCAATTATTAGATCAGGCAATATGTTCCATGAATTAACCTGGTCAGAAAAGAGGTAGCAATAACAGGTTTTGGTTCATCCAGTTTTAACTACTTGAATTGGTTTTTATTTCTTAAATACATATTTTTCTCTATATTTCTACCAGCTCTACGCTACTATAAATAACTTCCCTTATTTGTAGAACCCACGTAGACGTGCTGTGAAAAGCACATGGTGCAATTTCACAGTATTATTTATGTAGGGTCTACACTAAGAATACCAGTTATTGGGCTCAATACAGGGGTAACTGGGTGAAATTCTATGGTCTGTATAATAAAGGAATCTAATAGTGATCTAATGATCCCACTACCCTTAAAATATATGAACAGTTTTTTTTCCCCATTTATTTAATTGCTATGGGATGAAGTTGTGTTTTTCTGGGCGGGGAACAGCACAAAGCCAATAAGCTGGAAGAAAAGTGAACTTTCAAAGTAAATACAATTTGGGGCCTAAGGTATTTGACACTTCTTATTTCATTTTCTGCAGTAACTGCTTTTTTTATTTCTTCATAGCTGATAAAAATTAATGATTGCTCTGGATCTGAAGTAACCTTGTCATCAAGGAATATTCTGTTAGTGTTGACATACTCGTTCCCTACAAACATGAATCACCCAGCCTCGTATAGCAGCCTCACCCTCTGGCTGTACTATAATGTTTCACTAGTGTAGTTAAAATTAAAATGTCAGCATTAAATATGGCAGAACCAGATGGGCTGTGGGAACAATAGCCTCTCCAAATCCAGTAGTTTTCTATCTAGCTATTCCCTTAAAGAGGGGGACAGCCTCCAAAACATAAGTGTTCAGCCAGTTGAAATTCTAGTATAAAATCACACAGCCACAATCCCACAATATTCTGGGAGCTAGCACTTCCAGAAGCCATTGTGCTTCATTTTACACACACACACACACACACACATACACACACACCTTTGTGTGTGATGAAAGCAATAATGCTATAACATGGCATTGCTGGTATGTGAAATACAAAGTTAAAAGCGGAGTTCCCCGAGCACTGTAGAAATGTGTATTTTATACTTTTCAAAATAGTTATTTTAATGTTTTTAGTTCCCATGTCAGTCTTCAAGATTGCACCTTTAAAATTAAGTCATTTTTAAAGTGACTGTAGTACTGATGTTGATTATACTGGAGATTCAGGGCCTTGTCCACACAACAGACTCTGTTTAGGCAGCAGCAGTATTTCAAGGGTCATGGAGGGGTCGGTGAGAGGGTACTTCAGTCTCCATGTCCAATTAGGGCTGATCCAGTATCCTTTGGATTCATTGGAAAGATTCCCTTCTACTTCAATGAGTACTAGACCAGAACTTTAATCCTTAGCTTCCTTGGTGAGATCGCCAACAAGCTTGCCAGTTGCCAGCATCTGTGATGTGGACGGAAAGTAACAACCTTCAGCGATACGTAGCTGTTAAATGGCTTGGACTGAGTACTGGATAGCTTGAGAGAGTGGTAATGGGATATTGAGCACTATTATTGATCTGAGCTGAATTCAAACCGGTGACCTAGAAGTGAAAGCCTGAGTGTCCCATTTCTAATCTCTTGAGCTATCTAGTCCCTCAGTCCAAGCCATTTTACTCTTATGTGCAGTTGCAACTCTCTCTCACGTTAAGATAAATTCTAGATTTTTATATTTAACACTAATAAAATTCAAGGAAATTCAGGACTTAGGCTCTGTTCCATCCTAAAGTCACCTTTTTGCTTTGATTGTTCCAAGGTTCTCATGCTGGGCTGTATTGTTTCACACCATATGGCTGTAATATCTAGTCAAAACAAGCTGGGCCCATGAAACACTGCCTTTCCTACCTTAGAATTTCATTGTGTGTGCGCAATATTAGTCCCTTGGGCTCAGTTGTACCCTCAGATATATGCCTGAGACAGGCATCGAACTTAAACAGGAAATATTCCAGTGTCTTCCGGGAAGGACCTGAGCCCTAAAATGTATTTTGATATAGATCTCTTAAGTGGTAGCTTTTTGAAAAACAGTAGAACTCATAAGTTAATAGTCTAACAATAGTACTGATGTGAGTGATGCTTCCATTGACTTTAACACTAGCTCCTTCAGACCAAATTTAGGATCCATGGAATCCTTCTGATTCATTCTTTTAAGATAAAAAATTCTGTTAACGTCTGTTGATCATTCTAGCATGGCTCACTACAGACTATTTATCAACATGCTGAAACCCTAGACCCTTCAAACTGTGTCAGACCATTACTCACGAGTCAAATTACAGATGAAAGGGTTATGAAAACTGGCTAATGTATTTGAGCAGTTGTCTCTGTTTCAAAGCCACATTAAATTAACCCTTAGCAAAAAATAAAGCAAAGTTGCCAGCACACAAAACAGTCAGTGCTGTTCTTATTTCAGTTTTGCAAATGAAGGTGTTGAACTGGGCATACTGCAAAGCCTAATTGTGACTTCCACCATGTCATTTTTACCAGACTGGAATGAGGGGGGGCAGGGGGGGAAGACCCATTACTAATTTAAACTATATTTAGAAGAAGATTCTGCCAAAATTTCTCCGCAGTGTTCTCCCCATTTTAAAATGATTGAATTATTACCACTAGGGGAATCCCTCCCCACACAGAAAATACATGAAATTTCTGGTATTAGTAGCAATGGGCTTCTTAGCTTTCATGAAGCAAATGTGATGCTGTTGGGTGGGTTTCTGTGTGTACCCCTCTAACTTCCACTAATAAACCTGTAGCATCATTTGCATGTGGAGTTCAGAAAAACCAATAAGCAATAAGCTCATGGTCTCTGTCAAAACTATTTCCCCTCTCCCCCCCCACACACACATTTTCCTCCCACTACAAGACCCCTTGCAACTGAAGCCCCACATTTCTGCATTCTCTGCAACATAGATTCAACCTCTCCATGCATCCCTGTTCATTTCCACATAACACTTACAATCCCACCCAACCCATTTGTTCCCTCTATCAATCCATTATGTCATTGCTATATTTTCATATTAGCTAGTGATTTGTTGGTTACATTCATCCAATATAGCATTAAATGACTCATGGGGATGTGATGTATTGTAGTTCTGCCATAGACCTAATTGTGAAAAGCAGCACTTTAACAGGTGTTTTCCAAGGAGGGTCTGTCTTTTACATCTCCGCTTAAGGTTCATCAAAACGTATGTGTGTGTGTATATACAATATACTTTGATGGCTTTTCAGTGCCACTAGGATACCCAATGTAGGGTAGCAGTCAACAAACGGATCAAATTATCAAAGGAATTAAGATGTGAATAGCACAAGTAAAAAGGTCATAAAGGATCACAAAAGGAGGGATCAATATGCTGTTGGAACTGTAAAGACTTGCATTCAAATAACAGTAACTTGTGTATACATAGTGTAATGTCAAAAAAGGGGGGAAATCAATACAGCACCAAGTGTTCCCATTTTAAGATACACCTCTACCTCAATATAACGCTGTCCTCAGGAGCCAAAAAATCTTACCGCATGATAGGTGAAACCGTGTTATATTGAACTTGCTTTGATCCACCGGAGTGCGCAGCCCCACCTCCCCCCCGGAGCACTGCTTTACCGCATTATATCCGAATTCGTGTTCTATCGGGTGGCATTATATCGAGGTAGCGGTGTACTCTAATAATCTAGATGGGCAGATTTGAAGCTTATAAAATCTTTGGGACCATGTATGTCTTCTCTAACCACAGTATAAAGTACCATGAGTGCACCACTTGAGGGGCTGCATAAATAATAAAAAAGTATGAGAATAAAATTCTATTATTAGAATGGATACATGAACAATAAATACAGTAGAAACATTATGGACCAAATTCTTCCCTGGTGTATCTCCCATTAGCTGAAACAGTTACACAAGGGACAAATGTGGCATTTTATTTTATACAGATATTTTATAGGGATGACAGAAATATATTCATTGTTTGGTAGAATTTTCTTTTCTCTGTGCCATTTGCAGAAATGTGTGTGAAATCTGCCAGATGATCTATAGCCATCCCATTACCTGTCTTCCTCTGGCAGGTAGCTAGTTAGATTTGTGTTAAACAGGATTTGCTTTGCCATTTCCATTTGCTGCGAGAATGGAAATGTTCTGACATGACATACGACCAATCAATAACTGGAAAGTGGCTTGCATGAGTCATCTGAAGCCAGCAGGTTGGAGAGTATCAGCCCCTACTGGGATTAAAGCCTGCAAAGGGTTGTTCTGCAATCAGTAATTCTGCAGTATCTCCTCTGGGTGTCTGACTTTCACGAATAAGAATATACCCTGTAGACTTGGGTTGAAATAACTCCTGTCCTTATTATTTGGGTGTCTGATTTTTCTGAGCTCTAAGAATGAGGTGAATTTGACATAAGCAAATCTACTGTTTTGCTATTCCACCAAAAATAAAATGGGGCAAGAGTTGGCATCCTGTTTTTATAATGTTTTGGGGGGGGTGGGAGGGAAACTTTTTTGTCTTGCTCTGGTCCGAGCAGAATAAGCACCCAGCTAATGTTAGAAAAAGACTACATGTCCCAGTATTTTCTGTAGTCTCTACTGACAATGTTTTATGACAATTGCAGGGCCATAATAATCAGGAACAAAGAAGTTATTCCAATGTCTTCAGAATTCACTCCTGAGACTGAGCGTCAGCGACTACAATATCTGGTAAGAGATCTGAGGATTGTACAAGCTGCTGCTGAATGTGGCTCTGTCATGTGTTCACAGGATTGATAAGTAACATTTTACTATAGCACATCTATGAGCAAACTAAGTAGGGTACTTAACTCCCTCCCAGTGTTTACTGTGCAATGGTATGTAATGTAGCAGTCTGACATTTGTGTGTGTGAGACACTGTGGTGCATATTGTTTTCCCGTGTTTTATTAGCATGGCTGACAGATCTCTTACCTAGGCTGGATCTACCATAGAAGTGGTTTCATTCAGTGTGGGTGGTCTCATTCAGTGTGGATAACTGTGGATTGGGAGGGATGGATGCTTTACTAGTTTGCTTAGGGCAGCCAAACCCCCTGCAGCCAGTGACTAGCTGATGAGAGACAGGATGGTTTATGTACAAAGCACTATTAGCCTATAAGCCATGTAACGAATAACTAAATATATTTTTACTTCTTTCTGACTCAAACCGCCATTTAATTTTTACACCATTAAAACTAACAGTTGAGCCCATTGATTGCTGTATGACTGTAACAGGACGCCGATGGGCCCCTCTAGCTTCTGCCCCTGCTGCGCCCACAAACCAGGCGTAGACCTCTGCTTTGGTGCAATCACCCATGCTCTTTATTTAGGGTAGAAGTTACCACCACCTTGTAGCTACAGAAAGCGTCAGGCTTGCAGCCTCAGGGACTGTTGGCTTCTGCAGCCAGCAGGGGAGAGCGGCCACTAACTCCCTGGCTCCTCCCTTTCCTCTGCCCCGGCTTCCTTCCTGCCAGCGTTTATGTAGCCCCTGGCTAACAAGGCCAGCAGCTGTTCCCCGTTTGCCACTTAGGCCTGCGCTTACTCCACCAGCTCCAATTCCCCTTTCCTGATTGGAGCTGTTGTGACAGAGGGCTGGCTCAGGGTGTCCTAGCCAGCACCCTGTCACACACCTGCCCCCTTATGAACCGCCAGGTTTGTCCTTCCTCGACCTCTCCACCCACATCCAGTAGGGTTCGTCCGGGGAAGCCTCTCCCCCTCTTTCAGGCAATCACCGGCATCATCTCCTGGAGGTTCCTTCATCCCCCACCCACAAAAAGTACACTGGTCGAGGGGTGGATGTCCCCATAGCTCTGCCGCCACCCACAGGTCCTCACACCAATCGCACCCCAGCAAGCATCCCTTCTCCTTTATCCCCTTTTCTTCTGGTTGAGGGTCAAGGCCAATCCCAACCTCCTGCAGGACACCTCGGGTTCTCCCAAGCCACCATGCGGGGTCCTTGTTTCTTCTCCTGGGAGCTGCATTGTGGCGAGCTCCAGTTGCTCCTTTTCTCCCTCTAAGGGACTTGGGCTAGCCATCTCCCCCACACCGCCTTCCCCTCGATCTACCCTGTCCGGGCACTGTTGTCTAGGGTTCTCATGGTTGCTACCCCGAGGGCCTTGCTCCTCTTCCTCCCCAGGGCTTCTCAGTCTAGGGGTCCCCACCCCTTCTACAGGGAACCTAGGCCTGATGGTCTTCTGCTGTTCCTAAAATACCTTTTACGTTCAGCCTACTCCAACTGTCTCAGTATTTGGCGGGGTAGAGATGCAAGTTTGTTGGGATTTTAAAAACATTTTTTTGAAGGAAATGCCTTTTTGTTTTTCTGTTCAGATTTAATTCCTATTCCAGTTCATTGCTTGAGTCTGAACATTTCAGAGGAAAGAAATACTTTGGGATGTATTCATATTCAGAGAACCAAATACAAAGCAGACCTAATAAATATTTATACTTAGTTATATTTAAAATAATTTGTTTTCCTGTAAAATAAAGAGAATCTGTAGTATCTTGGGAGCCTGGCACTTCTCTAGGAAAATAAGAGATAAAGCATTGCCTACAAGGGATTTTGCTCTTTTGATGTCCTTTCTGGCTTATATTTGAAAAAAGCAACTGATTTGAAAAGCACTTCTGCTGTTTCCCCTGGAATTTTCTTTACCTTTTTTTGTTTATTTCATTTGTATATGTAGCAAATGTGCCTGGGCCCTGGGTATCATGTTCAAAGGAAATACACGCAAGACAGCAAGAGCGTGAAACAAAATTAGAGACAATTTCAAACGTTCCATCGGTAACACTTTTACTCCAGTGTTTAAAAAAAAAAAAAGTAGTAGTAGCCATCTAACAGTACTTTGAGGCACTTGGAAAATGTGTTAATTAGGGAAAACCTCAAAAGAACCCCAAGCTTATTTAGCGTGAATAAGCATCCAATTCTAAAAGTTCAAATGCTTGGTTATAATGTATCTAAACCACCTGAGATTTCTGGTCATCCTCCTTATCTGTCCAGGGCTATCACCTGTCTCTCTTCATCCTTACATCTCTGGAAACCAATATTAACTGCACTTCCTTGTCTTAAGGGTATTTACTTTGGATTTGTTTGGATGCAAGTCTCTGGCTTCCAGTTTAAATGTAGTTTCCTAGTTCCTTCTCCCATGCATATCGAACAACAGGAAGAAATGCACATTCTAGTCATTTTAACATAAATGTTTCACTCTGCAATTGTCAGTGCCAATGTAATCTTCCTTCTCGTAATATGTGTTTAGCTCAAATGAACTATAAACCCACTCCAGTCTTGTCTCCTCCAGAAATAGAGAAGAAAGTGGCATGGGTCACTGTTGCAACTAGAGCTAGTTTAACAATGCAGAAAAACCATTAGACAAAAGATTTTCTGACCAGCCCAAATTATAGCGTAGTTTTCGGTATGGCCTGTCCTACAATATCCATGAGCATGGACCTCTTTCTTAGCAGCTCCAAGGAGCACTTGGGCTTCCATTGATAGAGTCATTCTCACCCCAACCATCTAGTAAGGACTAGTCTCACCTAGAGTTTTACTTCTTTAGGAGAAAAGTGTACATTCAAATGCAACCTGCGTTTAACTGAATGCAGCCCCTGGATTCCTCTCGCTGATTCCATATGGATGTTTGCAGCAGAAGCAATCTGCTCTGTCAATGAGCTAGAAACTTCTTGGAGCTTTCAGTTATAGATACTCTCCTAGCAGTTATCTCCTCTTAAAGATATGACACCTTAAGACACAGATCATTTAGCAAAAGATGTACAAGTGTTACATTCGCATTCCCTTCCCTCTCCAGATTCACAGCACTTGTCTTCTTGCTCCCCAATAGGTTCCATTCATGTAGTAGGCCCTTCTTCAGACAGGCTTTTGCCAGCCTACGAAGCGTTGTCCTTTTGCTTTGAAGTTGTGGGGCTCAGCATTTGTGACAACCTTTTTATTATGATCCGTGAGGCACTCTGGAAGGAAATCATGGTGCTTCCCTTGCTAACATGCTGTGAAAAAGATGACAAAATCCAACCAGATATTGACTGTGCACTGATTTGTTGACTTCTGAAGTTTTCTAAGACTTCAGCATTTGGGCTGGCAAAAAATCTATCTGTGGAGATTACCCCAGTCAATTTCCCTTTTATCTTCTGAAGAGACTTTTAATATGAATCATTCTAGATTTTGCCATTTAGTGCATTTTTGCAACATATATTTTATCATGTATTCCCTCTAGAAACTTCTGTTAATATTGACTTTTGCAGACAGGTACAACATTATCATTTGCATTACAGTCAGCCTAAATATTGTCCGTACGCAATTCAAGGCAGGGTTCCTGCTTCAGAAAGTTTGCAGTCTAGAAAGACCAGGAGTGGGCAGAAGGAATTATTGCTATTCCATTTTACAGATGGGGAACTGAGGCTCAGAGACATTACATGACTTGCTCTACAATACACAAGAATTTTGTGTCTGAGCTGGGAATTGAACGCAGATCTTCCGAGTATGTCTAATGCATTGACTACAAGGCCACCCGTCCCCTCATGTAATTCTTTTAAATAGATACTTCTCTGTCTGAAAGATTAGTTTACAAAGTATTACCTGAGATATGGAAATATTTTGTATGGTTTGGGGAGCGGGGGCTCCTTTCAACTTCCTAACAATGAGTGTTGGTTAATGGTAGTACAGTCTACTTCCAAAATACCCATTTTGTCCAAATTTCTTACTCTTGTGTTTCTTTACACACTCCCCTTAGATCAAAATCCTTAGATCCAAATCTTCAGAGGCACCAGAGCTCTGCTTGGTGCATTGGGCAGACAGTGTCTATAGGCCACTTCTTGTGCTCATCTTGTGCTAGAGACAGCCAGTGTCAGTTCTCCACCAGTTGGAAACTTTCCCATATAAAGGGAACTACAACTGTCCACCAAGGACCTGGCCCTATATTTCTGATCCTGGAGACTTGTTTTCTTTTTCTAATGTTTTCCCCTATTTAGATTTCCTGTTGTTTGGCTTTGAATATGGATCCAGCCCTAGAGTAACTGACCAGTATGCTTGGAACCTCTCCTGGATGCATCACACTTAACCTTTTCCAGTTTGAGTGTGGGGTCCTGAACTAAAATGTAATGCTTGAGGAAAAGGCACAATGATAATTGTGCTTGTATTAAAGGAACAGTACTATTCCTTGAGGCTTGGCTATATGTATGGGTGAAAATGGCAACCCTGATAGTATCATGAGTTGCAATGAAACTTCTGATATTGGATGTCACAGAATGATGCATTCTAGGATAGCCTGAGTGAAGTAGTCAACATTAAAGGACTTCGCAAAGAGAATTGTAAGGCACACAAATGCTCTCTACAGCCTAATTTGTTGGGATATTGGTACATAAATGTGAGTTAACTTAGTTTTCACATTTGCTTTCCAGATCAATTTTAATAAAAAGGAAATGGGGAAACCAGCCTGTTGAAAGAAAAGTGACTCATATTTCCATGAGTGGGTTCTTTTCTACATGGCTAACTGTTAAAAGAGCATAACTAACACTGAATTTTTAATATAGACAATCATAAAATGGCTAACTCCCAAAAGCATATAATACAGAATACTGTAGATTTATGCCAAAGCAGACAGTAATAACTGTTGAAAGACCAAAATGGTGGAAAATATTTTTTGTACCCTAAAGCCGGAATAGTAGAGTGAAGCTTTCTTAACTAGCCTGG